ACTTTAAAATTTGGCTACCTAGGGTCGTTTTCGAAATTTGAAAGCTTGCCAATAGATACAAGTAAGCTTTTCCCATCATACCCGATATCTATCTCAATGCCTTGAATTGTTAACATTCCCAATAAGAATGCTCCTTATGGTGACGCGAGAAAAAGATAAAGCGGAGCACCCAACCTGTTGCCGCAGGTTTAATGTGACCCGTCGTTAGTGTGTGTCCAGCATGTTTTTTAAATATACGGATCATTTATGAAAAAGAAATGAGTCCGTATCTTAGTTACGGAAATAACCTTTTCGTTGTGGTAACCTGCAATCTTTACCCAATATGCTCAATCGTCTTTCCACTGAGTGGCGTTTCGGCAGATTTTCCCTTGAATCATAAAAACGTGTCGTTTCCATGAAATGTGCCTCGCTAAAAATATTTATAAGACAAAGTACGGCCCCGCTGACTACCTCTCTTGACTAAGAACCGATTTTGACCTACGAGAAAACTGGAAAGAAATCGAACCCATCCTGACTCAATGAACATTGGGTTGATTCCACAGTCTGTTCTTACTTAAACCGAACTTAAACATATACACAACATACATATTAATAATCAATCATAGTTATATATGTGTACATATATATATATATATATATATATATATATAATATATATATATATATATATATATATATATATAGATATATATAATCATATAGCTCAATCAATCATATCATGACTCAATCAATCAATATAATCAATCATATAATCAACATATATAATCAATCATAGTTATATATGTGTACTATATATATATATATATAATATATATATATATATATATATATATATATATATATATGTACACATATATAACTATGATTGATTACTTAATATGTATGTTGTGTATATGTTTTAGTTCGGTTTAAGTAAGAACAGACTGTGGAATCAACCCAATGTTCATTGAGTCAGGATGGGTTCGATTTCTTTCCAGTTTTCTCGTAGGTCAAAATCGGTTCTTAGTCAAGAGAGGTAGTCAGCGGGGCCGTACTTTGTCTTATAAATATTTTTAGCGAGGCACATTTCATGGAAACGACACGTTTTTATGATTCAAAGGAAAATCTGCCGAAACGCCACTCAGTGGAAAGACGATTGAGCATATTGGGTAAAGATTGCAGGTTACCACAACGAAAAGGTTATTTCCGTAACTAAGATACGGACTCATTTCTTTTTCATAAATGATCCGTATATTTAAAAAACATGCTGGACACACTAACGACGGGTCACATTAAACCTGCGGCAACAGGTTGGGTGCTCCGCTTTATCTTTTTCTCGCGTCACCATAAGGAGCATTCTTATTGGGAATGTTAACGTACACGTACACGTATATATATATATGTGTGATGACATATGACACGTACACGTATATATATATATATATATATATATATATATATATATATATATGGGTGTGTATAATGGCTTTTTTAGTGCCGCTTTATGCGACAACTTTTAGTCGACGTCTAATGCTCGCATACACATGTTGGCTTGCAGTTCGGTGTCATCTTTATTTTTACAAATATCATTTTCGTTGAAGCTACCAAACTCGGTGCAAAGCGTATCACCACGATCGCCATATCTGTAACCGAATTACACTCGTCACGTGCTACGTATCGTCCTGATTGTTTTGCCGCAGGCGGTGGTGGGCAGACACTAGAATAACGGACTTGCTGTTGAATACCGTGACGAAGACTGAGACGTGCACGACTATATACAATACAACACGGCGCATGCCTTCCAATCGCTGGCCTAAAATGCTCAAAAAACGATGTCGGCAAAAAACCATGCCGAGAGCGGCGGCACGCAGCTCGTCAGCGCACTCCTCCCCGCCGTTCGAGATCAGTCGCTGCCCGGGCCGAGGGAACGGCGTGCAGCCTGTTAGCGCAGTCCTCTCTGCCGTTCGAGATCAGTCGCTGCCCCGGGCAGAGGGAACGGCTGCGGAACGCAGGGCGTCCATGGGCCTAGATAAGCTAGTGTTGACGGTGGAGGGCTGGCCGAGAGGCGTACCAAAACAGCGCACCACTCGGCAAACAAGGCGGTAAAGCGAGCAGCCCAGGGGCAGCCGACGTGTTTACCCGTCGCCGCCAATCGTCCGCATCGGGGTCGGGCCAGATCGGGCCCGACAGAGGAGGTCTGGCCAGGGGCGCGGCCAGCAGACCGGGTCAGAGGGGACGACCAGCGCTGGCCGCCGGCAGCCGGACTTCTCGCTCACACCACAAAATTGACTAGAAGAGTTGAGCTTGACAGTCCGGCGGACGTGGCGTCCCACTTTGTCTTCCCTAAGCTTGTAACGCATCCCTGATACTACTGCGTGGACCGTTTAGACCACTCGCCATTGTTTTGTAGGCGCTGTGTTATTTAGGGAGACGCTGCGACCGTGCCTAACACGGCGACTGCCGTTTCACGCCCCGTGCCAAGGCGCCCGTGCCACAGCATGAGACGGGCTAATCCAAGTGAGAAATAAGTTGTTCAGAGGTCACCCGAGTACGCTGTAACAGCTCTGGGATCGCCCCAAGACAGAGCGCGCGTGCGGCGTGGCAAGCGCGCCGGCAGAGCAGTGCTCCCCATGGTAGCATCTCTAACTTTCACTAAACTTGCACTAAACTGAGTAACGCGATCACGGGGCACTCTTTCGACGCGCATGTTTTTTTCGCGCAGCTTCTGTTTGTAACAGAAAGAAAACCCGGAATCGCTTTGAACTGGTCATCAAACATGCTTTTGGACCAGACGGTCCCTTCCTATCCTTGAGGAATTGACTCTGCTGGTCGCTTGCAGAGGAGTTCTGATTAGTGCTGCTTTAGGGCGCGCCAACATCCTGGTTTATTTGGACACGTACAGTTTCTTTCAATCGATCGTTTCAGATGTATAGATAAGGTATCATGGCCGATAGGTCCCACCATTTCTGTAAGCTACATCAAATAGTGGTTTGGCAGCGATTTATTTCGGCCGCGAAGTGACAGCAACAGATCAATTTCCTGCCAGAGGGTAGCCGTCTGCATACGATAACCCCGAGGGCCAGGCCCGGCAACAATCGGCCCATTGTTTGGGACAGCACAATGGAGAGAGAAAGGCCTGTTTGCTTACATCACTGAAGTTTTTCTCGCACATCTTGGCAGCTGCTCGTCAAAGAAACTTGATTTCCTGCCCCGACTCCACATTGATCACAAATAGAGCTTCCACAAGGCAACACTGCCAAGCTTAGCATAGTGGAACGAAATAGCCATTTGGTGGTGCCTCTTTCCTCTCACCAAGCCTTCTTATTCTCAAACATGCCAGTATGTGGTTTAGGATGTTTCGCTGGCACCGAGCACGTGAATGAGCACGAGCACGTGAGTGGCGGCCAGTCAGGCGCAGGGGCCCATTGTAATGTAGTCAGCTGGTGACGCCTCAGTCAGAGTTGACTTTCAAGCGTCGTGTCCGCAGCAATGGCTGAAAACATGGGCTTTAATATACGCAGCGTAATATACGCAACATATACTGCATCCTCTCCTTTCCTCACATGACGCCTCGCGCAATGAGTGGAGCACTTGCGGCTCCGGGCCAGGCCACGGGGCGGGGGAGGGTGTCAGACCGACAACAATGGTCTGGTCACGTGGTGTCCGGCGCCGGCCAAGGATAGGTGACTACAAGAACCGTACATCATACCCTGTTCTTACGTCGACTTCAAGTTTTTAGCCATCCTGATCACACTGGAACCAAGTTCCAATACCTGGTTTTGAAAAAGAGATGAAAGGGATTCCCCTCTCTACAAACGAGATAGTGACAGCAGCCGGCAGTGAAGTTAACAGCATAAGGAGCAAGCCCGAAATATTTGCGTCTCGAATGGTTCGCCTGTGAGAGCGTGCCTTAAGTTCTCCGATCAGAAAGCAAACCAGCCACAAAGTCCAAGAGCAACAGTTTTATAAAATAAACGTTGGAAGCGACCGAGCGGGATTTCGGGCGGCGAACGCTGCCGCCTGTACTGCCGCTCCCTATCCCTGGCATCCGGCCCAACTGTGGAGCTCGTCCCGGCCCGGAAATGGCAGGCTAGTCGGGGCGCTCGGTCAAGGAAGTTTCTAGTAAATTGGCCATACGTCATCAGCGCTTGGCTGGTTTCGAATTCGTTCTGGTAAACGCATCGCGAAGTTTGATTAAAAGGGGATTTGGAGCAGCTCTTCAGAACACGTGGTTCACACGCCGTAATTGGCATAGGAAATTGAGATAATTGGCGAATGAGACCCGGTGGATTTAAACTGAAGACTGATACAATTGCGTTGACACTAGTTTATATTTTGAATTACTCATTATGTGCGGAAACCCGTTGAAAAGTTCAGTTTATTCCATCTCCAGGGAGTCACTCTAGACCAAATTTTGGGCGCTATGCTTGGTCACATGCCATCTCAGGCTATTGCTTATTTAATAATTAGTTTACTATACTCAGCTCATGTTTGACTGAAATGGGAGATCATCGCCACGGAAGAATCAAGAGAAAAAGATTGTCGGTAAGGAAGGAGCGGAGAAAATAGGTCATGCTACACAAACCAAAAAGATCGGACTGGGTAAATATCTGATGCGTTATCATGTTAAGCGAATGGCGAATGGCCAATGCTCAATGAGTTATGTAATTTACCAGAAATGATCAGCAAATAGTTCAGATTGAACTGCAGCAGGTTATCATCTCAGGCCATTGGCAACAACTAAAACATTGCTGTTTCGGGCTCTGTCCTCAGCCGTAACGCCACGGCGCCAAAACGCCAAAATACCTAACTCAAAAGCGATATTTTAATAGACCTTACATATATTTTCGGCCTTCTGCATAGTTAAGAGTTTCAGTCGATAGATCTCCATCACATAATTTTTGCCGAGTTATGTTTCATCTGCACGGATGCTACCTATGTCATGAGGCGCACGGCCTGCGCGGAGCCCGGAGCCGGTGGTCCGCCTCCTACGAGAGGCTTCTAAATGATAGCGGACTTACTTGGTTTTTAAGTGGCCTGTTGACCCGTCTCGCCCTCGCCGATGTTTCCGGACAGCAAATACACAATATCCGGATGAAAGCCCTGGAACGCACACAGAGAGACACACGGTTAGACCTCAGACAGCGGAGGGGGGGGGGGGGGGGCATGCATCAGCATCCGGATGGAAGTCCTAAGAAGCACAAAGACAAGACACAACTGTACATACTACTGCGACGACGGGCCGCGAAAGCATCTCACGCTTATTTCACCGTTTGCATTGTCAAAGAAGGCGGACGTCGCAGAAACGGAGTCCATATATGAGACGCGAGGGGTTTGAGTTACCGCGCATCTCGAGCCGATATGAGTCCTTCCTGTCTTACTCAACGCGTCGGCTCTCCCCGACAATGACGAAAAAATTGCTGGGATAAAACAAACAGAGGTTTCGACTACTTTAGTGGCGGTGTCAAAGATCAAGCCGCGAGATACGCCCAGCAGAAAAATAAATTAATTGCAAAGTAAAGTGTGAATAGAGTTTGCACCATATCGATCTGAATTGGCACATACCGATCTGAACGCGTGATAAAGAATGGATTGCGTGAAAACGTGACAAAGCAAGAAGCGGGATTCAGTAAAAAGGAAAGACACCTCCGGCCTTTAAAGATTTTCAATAATTATAATGGCGCTGTAGAAATAAAATGGCCTTAGTTCACATTAAAAATAACCGGCAGAGCATAATATTTTTATCTTTAAAATACCATTCTTATCAATTTTCCACGCTCAACAATACCTGCTAGCACGGCGAATACGTCTTTTTGTACTAGGTCCTCGCAGCGTTACTATTATTGGGATTGTAACACGTGGGATAAGGCTGTTCGCATGTCAGCCTCGGAAACACCAGTGCCCCGGATGTGACAATTAGCGCGAGGTACTGCAAGGTATTGGCACTTGTATCGTTAGCTGCCACACGTGTGATCTGTATTTCACGACGCGTTAGACTTCATAGTGCGTGGAAAGAAAGCCGACACTGCCAGGAGCTGAATTAGAACTGTTTCTTATGGGTGGTTCCTTGAAAAAGCGTTGACGCACGGCTAGAAGTCTATGGCAGCTTAATAATCCAACCGTCTTACCTTGAACGGCAGTCGCTAGGACAGGATTGACGTCATAATATGCGCATCGTTACCAAAGTATCGGAGAAAAAGGTCACATAAATCTGGCTATTTTCCATAACCACGGGGAAAACAATTTTTTCGCATCGTTGGGAAAATATAAATGACAAGGTGAAGCGTTACCATTTCCTCTTAATTCAGCTTCAGCATATTTCTGGATGGCCACGCTCCAAGGTGACTAATACTGCATTCTTACCATGTTCAGGGAGTGTTGCGTCAAATATTGAAGTTAAATGTAAAGTCTCACAACACTTATCCTCAATGCAAATTTCCCTATTGTACAGCATACCGCGCCTGGCTCCACGCCATGCGTTTCCGTAAATGCTGAGCACTGATATTCGAGCAGTCCGACTATATCACACAGGGCCGGCACTCGCAAACCATTGGCGTCGTGGCGCCACAGCCCAAACTGGCACGCAGATGCCGGCTCCGCATTCCTCGGCGCGCCCCGTGATGGGCCATATATCACGCCCGTTCTGCATGAGGCGGCGCCATTTGGCGGGCCGGCTCGTTGGAGCGGTCGGTCGTCGTTATCCTGCCGTGCCGAGCGGCAGGCGGCCGGTCCTCGCACAGGCGCCAGCCATCGATCAGGCCCACCCGTCCTGCCGACCGCTGCCGCCGCTGCCCTCCCCATCAGGGCCACCCGTCCTGCCGACCGCTGCCGCCGCTGCCCTCCCCATCAGGCCCACCCGTCCTGCCGACCGCTGCCGCCGCTGCCCTCTCGATCGGGCCCATCGGTCCTGCCGCGCCTGCCGACCGCTGCGCCGATGCCCCCCCCCCCCCCCCCATCAGGCCCACCCGTCCTGCCGACCGTTGGCGCCGCTGCCTTCTCGATCGGGCCCATCGGTCCTGCCGACCGCTGCCGCCGCTGCCCCCCCCCCCCCCATCAGGGCCCACCCGTCCTGCCGACCGCTGCCGCCGCTGCCCTCTCGATCGGGCCCATCGTCCTGCCGACCGCTGCCGCCGCTGCCCTCCGATCGGGCCCATCGGTCCTGCCGACCGCTGCCGCCGCTGCCCTCCCCATCAGGCCCACCCGTCCTGCCGACCGCTGCCGCCGCTGCCCTCTCGATCGGGCCCATCGGTCCTGCCGACCGCTGCCGCCGCTGCCCTCTCGATCGGGCCCATCGGTCCTGCCGACCGCTGCCGCCGCTGCCCTCTCGATCGGGCCCATCGGTCCTGCCGACCGCTGCCGCCGCTGCCCCCCCCCCCCCCCCCCCCCCCCATCAGGCCATCGTCCTGCCGACCGCTGCCGCCGCTGCCCTCTCGATCGGGCCCATCGGTCCTGCTGACCGCTGCCGCCGCCGCCCTCTCGATCGGGCCCATCGGTCCTGCCGACCGCTGCCGCCGCTGCCTTCTCGATCGGGCCGATCGGTCCGGCTGACCGCTGCCGCCGCCGCCTTCTCTTCTTCTCAACGGGGCCCCTCAAAAGGGCCAACCCATATTCGCCTGAGAACGTTCACTCTTTTGGAAAAACGACTTGTGAAACACATTATATAAAAAAGTTTCGAGCCTTCGCGCTCTCAATCTCAGAAACAAGAGCCAGTGATGACCGGGGTCGCATCTTCCGCAAAAACTGAACGGCGCCGGCCACTGCAGGTAAGGCCAGGCGGTGGGCTGACCACCGTGTAAGCAAGAATGACGGCCTATGAACTATGTTTCCAAGAGTGCTTCGAAATAAATGCGTACCGTTCAAAGGTTGTTATTTTGAGGTCGTCCTCTGCACGGATAAACAGCTACTGCAACACGAAAAATAAACATCCTTCCTTCACTCTTTCAGTTCCACCGCCAGATTTTGTCCGGTCACCACTTAGTGTTCGTCGCAGGGCCGACGCCGACAAGGCTACGGAGTCGTCAGGTGTCAGAGCTTCCATCGTCATTATATGCGAGCATGGCTGTTCAAAACTGCTTTACCTTATTTTCCTCATAATTGAATCTGACTGATTGTGGAATATTTTCCGGTAAATCTGGGTTGACTATGTTAACATTTTTTCTTTTGCTTTTTCAATGTATATGCAAATCACATTACACACAGTCAGAATCATCTTATGAAGACAATGCGAACAACGATCTGTCGCATATGGTATAAGGCTACCATATCCAGTCACACCTGTCACATCATCGTAGCCTATTATGTATACGAGCACATCACTTCAAATAATTGCTCACACATGATACAATATCTACGGCACGGTACACAGTAGACCCACAATGCATAGGTTTCACGTGCTCGTTTGGAACGAAGGCCACTGCGGCCTCCCACCTCAGTCATGCACACACTGCGGCCTCCCACCTCAATCATGCAGAACACGGTATTTACAGCGAATGGTGCGTGCAGGAAAGACGTGAATGGGTACATGTATGTGTAAGTGTGTGGTGTGCGTGGTTGAAGTCTGGAAGTACATGTTTGCGAGAAAATACGTACATATCTGCTTGCGTTGTGTGTTGCGCTGTAAAAACGCGCGCTGTGTATCCTAATTTTATGGTTGTAAGGTTTCGGGCATTATTCGCAGTATAAGTCCTACTCTTCCCCACTTGTCTATTCGTCTCATTACGTAATTTGGCGCAGCAGCGTTCTTTTTGTGCTTCAAGTTTCAGTAGGTTCAGGAAATGTTCTTTTTGTGCTAGTGCTTTCCCAGATATGCCTCGTAAATCGTGAGCTGGCCAATGCTATATTAAGAATTTCATTGCTACTGGAGCCTTGTGAGTTGGGGAAATATCCACTGCCTCTTTTCAAGGTTTAGCAGTATCTTAAATTCCTCGGATATTTTGGTGACAACGCCTCTGAGGAAATCCTGGCTTCTTAAACAATCCCAACATAAATGTATTAATGTTTCAACTGAATGCGATATGCACTAGCTGTATTCTGATTGACCAATGCTGCGCAAACAAAAGATTTGTTGGGATTAGCCTGTTGATCATGTGGAAATGAAAGGATTTCATGAATGTGTCTTTGTTATTCTGGAAATACCATACATACTACCTGTCCGAACAAAGCCTATGTCTCATAGCCATTTGTTGTTTGTTTGTTTTTAATTGCGTTGCAGCAAAGATGGTTTTGATATCAGGGAGTGTACGAGCTGTTTATGAGCTATTCGTGATAAGCTATGTTGATTTGCCAGACTAACCTGGTGAGGCATTACTGAGTAAAACTTTGATATCATGTGGTTCGAGTTCTCAATCATTTGCGGGAAGGTTCTGACGAGAGAGAGATTCGTATCACAAGAACGCCACTGAAATGCTGTAAACCCTCTTTCTCCTGCCTTTAGTATAGTTCCCCAGATAAGGGGTCAATAAGATCTGCTAAGAATCTGAGACCTTTATCGTCCCAGCCTTTTATTATGAAGTTGTTAAACTTAATCAGATCCGAAAACCAGGATATTCCGGACAGGAGCTGCTCCTGCTCTGGGCTGTCTAGTGAGGAAACTTTTAACGACGCTTGAAACACATTCTCCCAAAACGGATCTTAAAATCTCATAGTGACGTATTTTAGTTTTATTGGTCCGCAGGTTACCAGGTTTTCAATACAGACAACTTTCGCCATGATTAGTTTCTACCAATCATGTTGAGAGCAAAGAAGTCTCGAATCCGCGATATCTTTAAGCTTTTTATAAAGGAGTTGATATCCACCACGCTCAGATCGTCAAGCATGTATGGTTGTCATTGAAATTTCTTGACATGGTCTTGTCTATCACCCCATAGGAATTTGAACAACATCACCTCTATTCTTTTTTCCTTGTGCCATGCGGAATTAGGCAAAGCTATGAATATATGAACTAGTTTTGATAAAAGCAAGGACTTGATAACAGTTATTCTTCCCACCAACGTTAAATGTCGCCTTTTCCATTGCAATGTCTCCTCTATCAGTGATGTCTTCATTTCAACGTTGTTGTTGGTTTTGTGCCCGTTGTTCTTTTTGAAAGTAATGCCAAGTACTCT